GGTTGTTTTTGAAGGCTTTAGGGTCAACTTGTGGGTTAAACTAATGCATTCTGTGAAATGTAATAACTTAGAATATTTGCATACAGGATGCTTTGCTTGATCATTTTAAGTTTGTCCTGAAAATCTATTGCTTCATCAATATTTTATATGCATGTACAGTGCCTTCAGAAAGTATTCACACACCTTTACTTTTTCCACATTTTGTTGTGTTACCAAGTGGGATTACAATGGATTTAATTGTCTTTTTTTTCAACGATCTACACAAAACACTAATATATCTTGATTAGATTACATGTTAGAATCACCTTTGGCAGCGATTACAGCTGTGAGTCTTTCTGGGTAAGTCTTTACAAGCTTTCCACACCTGGATTGTGCAGCATTTGCTTAAAATTCTTCAAGCTCTGTCAAATTGGTTGTTGATCATTGCTAGACAACCATTGTCAGGTCATGCCATAGATTTTCAAGCAGATTTAAGTGAAAACTGTATCTCGGCCACTCAGGAACATTTACTGTCTTCTTGGTAAGCAACTCCAGTGTAGATTTGGCCTTGTGTTTCAGGTTATTGTCCTGCTGAAAGGTTAAATTATCTTCCAGTGTCTGGTGGAAAGCAAACTAAAGCAGGTTTTCCTCTAGGATTTTGCCTGTGATTAGCTTCATTCTGTTTCTTTTATATGCTGAAAAACTCCCCAGTCCTTAACGAATTACAAGCATACCCATAATATGGTTGAAAATATGGAGAGTGGTACTTAGTAGTGTGTTGTATTGCATTTGCCCCAAACATAACACTTTGTATTCAGAAAAAAAGGCATTTTTTTGCAGTATTGCTTTATTGCCTTGCTGCAAACAGGATGCATGTTTTGGAATATTTTTTTTAAATTCTGTACAGGCTTCCTTCTTTTCACTGTCATTTAGGTTAGTATTGTGGAGTAACTACAATGTTGTTGATCCATCCTCAGTTTTCTTGCCATAAGAAAGGTGTTGAATACTTATTGACTCAAGACATTTCAGCTTTTCATTTTTAATTAATTTGTAAAAATGTCCAAAAAAATCTAATTCCACTTTGACAATATGGGGTATTGGGTGTAGGGCAGTGACAAAACATCTCAATTGAATCAATTTTAAATTCAAGCTATAACACATCAAAATGTGAAAAAGTCAAGGGGTGTCAATACTTTCTGAAGGCACTGTATACAACAACATGTTTTATGTACAATATGTATATTTGTATAGACTACACCTAATATACTGTAGAATAGAAGAGGCATTTAAATTTCACTGAATTCAATTATATTTACTTTAATTCAAATTCCAATTGTAATTCAGTATCCTGTTCACCATTTCAATTCAAATTCAATTCAAGAATTGAATGGAATTCATGAGGCATTCTCAATTAATTTCTGAATTGAGCAGAACCCTGTTGACCAAAAATCACGGACGTTGATCATAATCATAAAAGTATTTGTTTGGTTCAGATTTGGTCAGGTCCGAACCGGCCTTGATTTGTACAGACATTACAATAAAGTAGAGCACAGTAGAGTATAGTACAGTGCAGTAAAGTATAATACACTGTAATGTACCCTACTTTACTCTAATGTACTCTACACTGCTGAACTAAACTGTACTCTACTCTACTCTACTGCCTAGACATCTATGATTCGTTCAGATTTGGTCTGGTCGGATCTACCAAATGTGTATTTGTTTGGAGGCGGAGGTCATTAGAATAATACCCAGCATGCTCTGCAAGTGTTTGTTTTAACGTTTACATTTATATTTTAGTCATTCAGCCAATGCTCTTATCCAGATCGACTTACAGCGCATTCAACTAAGGTAGATAAACAACAACATATCACAGTCATAGCAAGAATAACATATTCTGTAACCGTTACTGAGAATGTTATAGTAGTTGAAGTGGTCTGTTGGTTTATTAGATAGGTTGGACTATTTGAAACATTATTGCTGCCAGTTTTAAAGCTTTGAAAAAGCTAATATAAGTGCATGTGACAAATGTCTCCTGAGTGGTGCAGTGGTTCAGCAGTGTAGAGTACATTAGAGTAAAGTAGGGTACATAACAGTACATTACACTATATTATACTTTACTGCGCTGTACTGTACTGTACTCTACTGTGCTCTACTTTATTGTAATGTACTGTACAAATCAAGGCCGGTTCGGACCTGACCAAATCTGAACCAAACAAATACTTTTATGATTATGATCAACGTCCGTGATTCTAGCTGTGCCACTAGAGATCCTGGTTCGAATCCAGGCTCTGTCGTAGCCGGCCGCGACCGGGAGACCCATGGGGCGGCGCACAATTGGCCCAGCGTCGTCCAGGGTAGGGGAGGGAATGGACAGCAGGGATGTAGCTCAGTTGGTAGAGCATGGCGTTTGCAACGCCAGGGTTGTGGGTTCGATTCCCATGGGGGGCCAGTATGAAAAATAAAAAATATAAAAAATAATGTATGCACTGGATAAGAGTGTCTGCTAAATGACTAAAATGTAAATGAACATGGGAGCAACACCAAACATTCTATGTTTTAATCTTCAGTTGGCTCCTCTTTCCTTTATTAAATTGATTTAAACATAGTTATTGTGATATAATGCTTTGTGAAATGTATTTCAGTGTCTGTAAATTATGTATTTTCAATGTTATTTCTTAACCAAAAATGAACTTGAGTTCAAAGTCTGGAAAATACGTATTTTCAACATCCGGAAAATGTATTTTCAATGTTCGCAAAATACGTATTTTCACCTTTAATTCAGAACCTAATATGAACCTAAAAATATTTATTTTAGATGTCATTTTGCTTACTGGGTCGTGTCTTCTACCAAACACTTGGATAACAGCTTCACTGAGTGTACAAAACATTAAGGACACCTGCTCTTTCCATGACAGACTGACCAGGTGAATCCAGGTGAAATCTATGATCCTTTATTGATTCCACTTGTTAAATCCACTTCAATCAGTGTAGATGAAGGGGTAGGAGACAGGTTAAAGAAGGTTGTTTAAGCCTTGAGACATGGATTGTGTATGTGTGCCATTTAGATGGTGAATGGGCAAGACAAAATATGTAAGTGCCTTTGAACATGGTAGGGTAGTAGGTGTCAGGCACACCGGTTTGGGTCAAGAACAGCAACTCTGCTGGGGTTTTCATGCTCAACAATTCCCAATGTGTATTAAGAATGGTCCACCACCCAAAGGACATCCAGCCAACTTGACACTGTGGGAAGCATTGGAGTCAACATGGAACGCTTTCGACACCTTATAGAGTCCATGCCCCGACGAAAACGGGGGGTGCAATTTAATATTAGGAAGTCCTTAATGTCCTCAGTGTATGTCCTACTGGGACACACTATTTTCACGCCATTTCGCCCGGTGGGCGGTGCTATAGGTCACTGTGGGTGTAGATTTCAGCACGCATAACGGGGTGCACACTGTCGAAAACGAGCCGAGCACTCGCTCATCTCCAGATTGTTGTATTTATTCAACACACCGCTAACCGCTAAATCACAGAGTACAGGTTGGCTAAGCCTAACTACATTAATGGATGTTATTGTTTCATCAGGGAGCCACAAAGATGACGTAAACAAATGTAATCGCTGAATTCACGTTATGTTTGCTATTTCATGCAGCTACAGAATAGAAAGAAGCTAAACAAATGATTTTGTATTAGAATTTCACATTGTCTAAATTGAGCGATATCATTCACGAAAAGTAATGAGACTGGGTGTGTATGTATGCCGCCTGGATACTATGGTAACGTTGGCCTCATGTATATGCCCTCGAACAAATAACTAAATCCAAGGACATCCAAAATCCATGAGATTAAACGTTTTTAATGAAGCCAGCAACGCAAATAATTCATCTCAGTGATTAAAAGTTTTTACGTTTTTAATGAAGCCAGCAACTCAAATAATTAATGTCATTGATTGACAACGCAAATAAGTCATCTCAGTGATTAAACATATTATTGCCGTATTATTGGACGTTGACTAACCAATCGCAGTGAAATTAGATGAAAACTAGTCATGATCAGTTTCATATATTTAATTCAAGTAAATTTAGATTGGCTTGAAAGCTGCATTGACGTTGTAGGTTGGCTAGCAAGCAAAACTTGATTATACACATCGTTCACTTTTGGGAAATTGGTCCAACCACTTGGTTGCTGGCTATCATTATTTGTTAGTTCCAATAAAGCAAAATTATGTAGGCCTACTAATATGAAAGTGCAATTGTAAACTATAATGTATAAACCCAACATAGCTTAATTTATGAATGAGCTCCCATACAGACGGTTGTTGGTTGAATGGCATCAACCATCTATTTTAAAGTCATGGTTTCAGCAGACATTTGTGGCTTTTGAATCCATAAAAAAAGTATTATGGGTAAAAGCCTATACAGATCCTACATTATCTGATATTGTCTGTGATTTTATCTTTAAATTGGCACCCATTTGTCCTGTCAAATGAATAACATAACATATGATTGTTGGATCCAGGCTCACGAGAGGAGCATGTCATAAATTATGTTAATGAGACAGGACAGATTTGGAGGCGTGTTAGCCGACTGTAATATTGAAAGCGAGCACGCTCTACTCTGTGCGAAAACATTTGCCATTCAAGTGCGGTTTCTGCTCTCACTGTAGTAGCCTATCTTTCCAGTTTTAGTTTTCATGGTTTTACTGCCAGAAGCCTAGGGTGGCGATAATTATTTTCTCCAGCAGTGCAATAAGTTTGTAGGAGTTGCTTCAACCGTGAAATCAGTCACAGGATGCACTGTTTTGCAGCGCCTCAGAGCGAAGATTTTTGGTGAGAGAGCGTGTCGCTCTCGCTGTAGTACCGGCTAACATTGTGCGTTGACGTCGTGTCGTCAGAAACGTAGACATCATAATTTATATTATTCTTGACCGACTGTACATGCAGATTGCGTTTAGTGTTCCATGGTCAAGAAATAGTCATGAAGGTTTCAGAGACCAGGGGAGCACATAAGTGCGCTGAAAAAATGGAGAGAGAAGCTGCATCTTTGAAGCGGCAATATTGCTGCACAACTGTCATGAACGTTATCTCGTCTTTATTCTCTGTGGCGTCCCTTGCCTTTTGTATATTTTTAAGTCTGCAAACATCAGAGATCAATGACAGGGTCCTGGATTTGGAAACTGGACATGGCGAGCACGTCTTTCACCGGGTGTCCGGCTTTTCGGTGGATCAGTTTAATTCATTGATTCAAGAGAGAGTGAATGAGCTCCTGTCACAGGTAAGCATCCACGAGCACTTGACTGCACGCTTGTATGTATATATATTTAACAATATGAGTGTATTCCCTTATCAGTTTTAATAATGTTGAATGAAAAGCGAGTAAGCGTTTGCTTTTCAAGTTTATTTAAGTTAACGTTCGTTTTGAATTTACAGCGCTCCTATGAACATTTCGCCAAGATACGGATTGCCCGACAAGTTAGCCCTAGTCCTGATTGCAACTGTCCCCCAGGTAAGACCGCGTTTAATAATGCACTTTACCGTCACAATGTTTTATTGAGTTTGTATAACAATAGTGATAAAGTAGCCTATCGCAAGGAGGCTATCCTATAGGCCTATCTAAATATTGTTTAGAACAGTGGGCTCACCAAATCGCTTTAGGCTAGGCCTAATTCTTTCAACTGCATTGATCAAACATGACAATCCAATTGTGTAGGTTAAGCCGTGGCCCTTGAGGCGACAATGTGATGGTTTACATAGTCTATAGGTGTATTTGCCTGCATGGTGCAATGATGATGAATACTGAGTTAGACTAATATGAAGCTCCCAACAGTGTTATTTTATAATAGGCTACAATTGCCTTTGCCAAAACTATGTAAGAGCTATACATTTCAATGATGGGATGCGCAAAATTAGTAGAAGTCAAGTCAATAGCCATATGCAGTATATTGCCAGTGCACAAGGAGAGACTGGTCACTAGCCCGATCTGACACTATTCCTGTCTTTCCTCATGTGTTGATAGTTGAGGGGGAGTATAAGGGATGTGGACAGCTGTATCACCACTACACCAAACAGAAAGAGGGGTATTTAACACCTATAGAAGCGCTGCATAGTTGTCTGAAGAGTGGGCGGTGTCTCAACGCCTGCTCCCTACTAATGCATATTTTACCCTCTGATAGGCTACATAGCCTACAGTCATGCACATGTGCTGATAGTACACATGCACAGAGCAAGGATGCAGACAACTAACTGTCTTCATGTGTACTATTACTAGCCTAACTCAATATAGCAGTTTGTGTTAGCTCTATACAGGCATAGGCAGGCATATGCAGTTAAAATACAGAAGTACAACGTATTCTAAAACCCTCACATATTCCTCAAAATAACCTATGGTATACCCCACTAAACTCTGTTTTTTTTTGTTGCTTGTTTCAATGTATTTATTACACTGTAGGCTATAAATCTGCTTGATAAATCCACTGAAATTCCCAGTTTTCACCAGCAGATGGAAACACTTATTCTTGTAAAACTGATCAAGATCCGAATAATTTGGGATAATATGCGGTTATGTTGGTGCATTTTTGCCACGTGTCAAAATTCACTTTTACAGTGCATTCAGAAAGTATTCAGACCCCTTGAGTTTTTCCACATTTTGTTACGTTACAGCCTTATTCTAAAACATATTAAATTGTTTTTTCCCCCCTAATTTATCTACACATATTCCCCATAATGACAAAGCAAAAACAGGTTTTTAGACATTTCTGCAGATTCTTTTTTTTTTAATCACGTAAATATAACATTTAAATAAGTATTCAAACCCTTTACTCAGTACTTTGTTGAAGTACCTTTAGCAGCGATTACAGCCTCGAGTCTTCTTGGGTATAACGCTACAAGCTTGGCACACCTTGGGGAGTTCTTCATTCTTCTCTGCAGATCCTCTCAAGCTCTGTCAGGTTGGATGGGGAGCGTCGCTGGACAGCTATTTTCAGGTCTCTCCAGAGATGTTAGATCGGGTTCAGGTCCAGGCTCTGGCTGGGCCACTCAAGGACATTCAGAAACTTGTCCCGAAGCCACTTCTGCATTGTCTTGGCTGTGTGCTTAGGGTCGTTGTCCTGAGCGCTCTGGAGCAGGTTTTCATCAAGGATCTCTCTGTACTTTGCTCCGTTCAGCTTTCCCTCGATCCTGACTAGTCTCCCAGTACCTGCCACATGCTTCACCGTAGGGATGGTGCCAGGTTTATCCAGACGTGACTCTTGCCATTCTGGCCAAACAGTTCAATCTTGGTTTCATCAGACCAGAGAATCTTGTTTCTCATGGTCTGAGAGTCCTTTAGGTACCTTTTGGCAAACTCCAAGAGGGCTGTCATGTGCCTTTTACAGAGGAGTGGCTTCCGTCTGGCCACTCTATCATAAAGGCCTGATTGGTGGAGTGCTGCAGAGATGGTTATCCTTCTGGAAGGTTCTCCCATCTCCACAGAGGAACTCTGGAGCTCTGTCAGAGTGACCATCAGGTTCTTGGTCACCTCCCTGACTAAGGCCCTTCTTCCCCGATTGCTCAGTTTGGCCAAGCGGCCAGCTCTAGGAACAGTTTTGGTGGTTCCAAACTTCTTCCATTTAAGAATGATGGAGGCCACTGTGTTCTTGGGGACCTTCAAAGCTGCAGAAATGTTTTGTTACTCTTCCCCAGATCTATGCCTTGACATAATCCTGTCTTGGAGCTCTTTGGACAATTCCTTCGACCTCATGGCTTTGTTTTTGCTCTGACATGCACTCTCACCTGTGGGTCCTTATATAGACAGGTGTGTGCCTTTCCAAATCATGTCCAATCAATTGAATTTACCACAGGTGGACTCCAATCAAGTTCTAAAAACATCTCAAGGATGATCAACGGAAAGGATGCACGTGAGCTCAATTTCGAGTCTCATAGCAAAGGGTCTGAATACTTATGTAAATAAGGTATTATTATTTATAAATTTTTTATACATTTGCTAAAAGCCTGTTTTCGCTTTGTCATTATGGGGTATTGTGTGTAGATTGATGAGGAAAACAATTAATTTAATCCATTTTAGAATAAGGCTATAATATAACAATATGTGGAAAGAGTCAAAGAGTCTGAATACTTTCCGAATGCACTGTAATCTGTCCTCTTGCTTTTATAGAATCAATAGAGGCACACTGTATGACATAATTTCTAGTATGAAACTGGCATTTGTCACACTTTTACCTCGTCTATACAAAAAAATATCTTAAACATTGCGCATTACATTTATAGCATTGTAATAGACATTGAATAATGTTTTATTAGGCTTTTGGTTGCTGTGCTGTTATAGAGCCCATATACTAGATTTGTTGATTGGAGTGAATGAGGGGAACATGAATGATGGATGGCTCTGCAACATGGTTCACATTATTATGTGCACCTTGTCCATCAGTCGTATCCTACGTCATAAAGACAATGTAAAAAAATAAGCTAGCTATTCGTGAGTTTCACACATCCCCATATGCTACATTAACCCCCCCAAACTCACTCCACAGCATCCTCAGCATTGAGCTGAGTGCAACTGCAGATCCGAGTCACTTGGCATGATTGTAAAGGACGTCACGCTGCTTGCTTAGCAAGTACAGCTTCCTCCAAAAGCTTGTACACAATGCGTTTCACCAGGATAAGGAAGTAAGAACAACGGTTTAAAGTAATTTTCCAACAAAAATCTACTAAAAAATCTACTTAATCTAAAATCTATTCAAAATCAGTCTGGGGTAAATTTTTGAAATTAATGAGCCAGCAGTACTGGAAGTATGAACCATAATAGGTATTTCGCAATTATGTTAGTCTCTGTTCTAAATCCCAATCATCTGCGTGCCATTCATTTTTATTCAATTAAAAAATACATTCCAGATTTGTTTTTGCCTCCTCTCTCTGCCTCTTTGAGGGCATACAAGCATGTATAGAGGACAACAAACAGTGTCGTTGTTATAATATAAAGACATCAGTGGAGATATTTTAATGTGTTGTTAGAGTATGGTATGGTGCAGTGTTTTACATTCTAAAGCAAGTCCAGCTTTCACCATACTATTGCCAATGCTTGCTTGGAAAGCCTCATTGTTAGGCGAAGTGTCTCATTTCTCGGTCTGAATAGATTCACTCAATGCAATCCTTGCTGTGGTCACAGCCTGTGGCTCAGGCATAGCCTTCTTTAGGGGGAACCGTAATGTATTTTTCATAGTCTTCATTTTATTACTGCCAGAGTCGATGGAGCGGCAGCTCAGACAGAGAGATGGGCCATAGCTTCAGGGTATTCTCCAGGTCGGCATCCCAGTTAGGTGTTCACCAGCTAGCCCATTGATGTGCCATGAAACCCCTTGTATCCGGGATAGCTTTGCTTTTCAGTAGGCCTAATCTTAAATTTTTTTCTTTAAAAAAAGAGAGTGTAAATCGACTCTGCTTTCATCGTTTTTTATTTACTGGCTAGATACAGAGAGGAATGAGATTGGGAGACAGAGGCAAAATTGGCAGGGTGGGATTTGAACCAATGCCCAGTGGGGCAATGTGTGGTTCGGAGTTGGCAGTGCTACCACTAGACCAGCACTGATAACCTTTTCTACTGATTGATTAATTGAATATATAGATAATTAAAAGTATTAGGCTGCTCCAGCCGGAGACAATATTACATACATTAAAAAGCATTACTTTGCTAACTGATTGCGCAACAACATTGCAAATGCAAATAAATATATTTGAGCTGGTTGGATGGCTTTGATGATGCCCATGTGAAACCAGTGTTGTGTAACTTTGCCCTTTATTTTTTCCCTCAGCATCTTTATGGCAATTCCTTTGCTATTTGTCTAGCACTTGTTGGCCTCTGTGGCTAAGTCACGTTCTGGTTAGTGTGCCTTACTGTGAAGTGCTTCCCCTGCAATGTGCTTTAATTGTTTCAGTATTGGCAGCTTTTTTCTTTTTGTGTGCATCTGCATTCCAAATCAGGCCTGTTGTTGAATGGGAGCTTAAATAAAACATGTAGCTCACAAGCAGCGGTGCTTTGCTCTTGCGTTGCGTATTCACCCCCCACCTCCCTGACAACATGGGCAGCGCACCGCAGCGTGGAAGAAGGGCCGGGAGAAGTGTGATGGAGTCTGGGACCACTGTGTTGGGGGGGTGTGTGTTTGTGTTTATGTGTGTGCACGCACGCACGAAATAGAGAGGGACATTAGTTTCAGTAAATACAAGCCTCTCCGACTCATCCAAGGACAACATGGAGCGGGCGACGGTTCAAAGTGAAAAAGTGAATGGAACCAATTAGTTTCCCTCAGCCATTGGCCTAGAGATGTGTGCTCCCAGACTCCCCTGGGGCGCTGTGAGGTCGACCTCAAAGGGAAGATGTTGAATCAGACCGCTGGCCTTTCCTGCCATCGGGCCACACACAGGCAGTGTGTTTGTCAGTGTAGAGGACCCCACTGCTCTATCTCTCTTTCCCGTACTGTATGGTTGGTAAGAGACAGGGATACCTTGTGGCT